GTCATGAAAGAACCAAGAATGTGTGATTTTTATTTCTTCTCCAATCTTACTATCTCCCCACCATAAATTCAAAAGCTTGAAATTACCATGAGCACTCCTACTAATAAAATGAAACCCTGAGCAAAAGCATAACTAAATATTTTAGACTCCCAAAGCAAACTCTTCAGAAAGATCTAAAGTAAATAGATTTCCAGCCCCCTCACTCCTCAACTAGGAGGGCCATGTGGTCATAATTTATACATAAGGAGAGGAAGGGAGTAGGGAGTCATCACTGATATTTTCTTCCTCACTGTGATTCTAGAGTATTCTTTATTGCTTTTTGCATTTTCCTCTTTTGAACCTAACCTGGGCCACATGAGAAATTAACCCTAGCCTCTGAACAATCCAAATAACTTATCCTCAGCAAGTGTGTGCCTCTTCCAACCAGTTGAGTGTTCTGTATCTTCCGCACGGATTCTCTTGGTGCCTTGTCAGCCTCTGAAGACCAAATTTTCATTGGTCAGTGTCTTTAATCTACAACTCTAAGCTTCGTACAACGGGCAACTACTACAACTAAAACAGGCTTTGACTCCACCCTATAGAATTTACAGTGTAACTTAAACAGACATGCTTCTTTTATGTATCGCTCATACTGGCTCAAAGATCATTACACTTCTCTCTCTGCAAGTTAAAAAGCAAGCAACAAGCATTTATTCAGCTGTTACTACATGTATGGGGTGCTATGGGAAGTACTAAGCATGATAAGATATGGTCCCTACCTTCCAAAGACAGGCCAGTTGGGATTATAAAACATAAGCAAATGAAAGAGCCTTAATAATGCAAGGCCATGCTGCCTGTCATATATACAGCCCATATTTTTTAAAGTCCTTTGTTTGGACTTGCTCATACAACTTGTCTTTGGTGCTTACGGCAGATAACTGCAGATGGCTCTATCAAACTTCATTCTACCTTTCCTCCCATGCAGGAGATTAGAAAGCAAAAATTGTGATTTCCTAGGCCACCCTGCAACTAGATTTAGAAGGTAAAGTGAGGAGAAACAAGGTTGGGGAGATACGAGTTTTTGGAGGCTTTCACAGCCGCCAGACACAGAGCCAGTGTCCAGTCTCCAGCTTCATGGCTGAAGAGGGTGCTGTGATGGCCTCAGTCAGCAGCTTCCTGGTTGGTGGATATTAGCCATGATGTAATGGAGCTTCTTATGAATAGCTGCTACTACTCTGTTGCAGAAGTGGGATGAACAACAGGCTAGCATTAGGACCAAATTTGGGCAAGGTCTTATTTCACCTCTGACTTGCTCTGTGACTTTGTACAAATCATTTAATCTCTCTGTGCCCTGGTCTCTCCTCTTGGGGTAACAAGGGCAACATCCATGACTCCTCTTACAGGCTGTCTTTGCTGGTGACTACAATTCCTAGACAACACTCTCACACTGCCCTTTAAAGCAGGGGTGGGGGCGGGGTGAGGACCCTGGCACCACCCCATAGGATGCTTCCCCAAAGTGGCATCCATTTACCCCAGAGCACTTTGGAGCAAGAGACAAATTCCTGGATGTGCTGAGGACACAGCCATTGACTAACATCTCTTTTCATTGTTTCATGTGGTTTCTATTTATTTACAGAGTGCCATGGTTATTCGTGATGCTTTACAAGCCATAAAAACAAGGTCTCCACCCTATAGAATTTACAGTGTAACTTAAACAGACATGCTGCATGGGCTGACAGGTCCAGCATGCCAGGAGATGGTGTTGGTGTTACATAACGTGGGTGTGGAGGGTTTCTTCTTGAGTTATAAATACTTTCCAGTTACAAGGGCCTTTCATCTGGGATCCCCCAGCACTTTAGAATAGCAATAACCTCAACTGCTTTCTAAATGCACTTTCCATAAACTGCTGTGGGGACTGAGTAAATGCTTTTAAATGTCTGTTAATTGATCTGTACATCTGTTCATTGTCGGTATTAAACAGCATGGATGTAAACACGACAGTTTAGGAGAGGCCCGCTTTGGGCTGAGGTCTGGCTGCCCCGACCCTACAACCCCAGAGGGGCCTGGCAGCCTTACGACAATGTCGGGAGGGCCAGATGGGCACCTGGTATTTTCCCAGGTGAGATGCTCCCTCAGTCTAGACTCAGAAAGATCACTTCCTGGGGACCTGCTTCACTGTCTATGGGTGAGTTAACTTTTCCAAGTCAGGTGAGCTCCAAGGAAGATTTTCCACTGGAGAAACTTGGAGTTATTCCTTGGCTGACAACTCTGGTCCCAGTTACTACATCACTTTCCTCTTATGCTCTCTTCCCAGAGCCACGGCATTTTCAAAATGGCAATATTTATACTTTATTGCAGCTGGTATGAAGTTTACCCCTCTAGGTCTCACTCAAAGTCCATTTAGCAAGTGACTATTTCTGGCCTATTTGACCAATTCATTCAAATCCAAGGTCCTAAATGTTCACCCAGAAGTTTATGAGATAAGCAAACATCTCTCAATCTATCCATCTTTTATACTTTCTAAAATCCAAATAGAATTGCACCACCCTCCTGCTTTAAAAATTCTACCTGAAGAATAAAGACCAAAGTGCCCTTGCAGGGTACATGTGGTCTTCGTGGCCTTGGCCAGCTAGCCAGTCTCTCCAGCTTCCTCTCTGTCCACAGGACCCGAGGCTGTGGCTACACCAAAGAAGTTGTCCCTTCCCCGGAGATCTCAAACTTTCCTGTGCATCCCTCCTGCAATAGGCCTACTCATCTTCCCTGCTCACCACCCACTACTGTCCATTAAAGCCCACCTCCAGGATCCCTCATTTTCACAGCCCTCTACATGGCCCACCACCGTGCATCACCCCAACCGTCCCTGCTCCTTTTCCTAGAGCACCTACTCACTTCCACCTCTACATCACCACAGCCACATCATCTTTCAGATACTGGCCCACAGATGCCCATCTTCTCATCCTGCTGGGAACTTCTCTAGGGCACGGACCATGTTTCACATACAGTATTCTCTCAGTGAAGTTTTGTTGAAGGGTCCTTTTGGTACTTTGATGGGACAGAGAAAGGGATGGGAGAGAGCAGCTATGGCTTAAGACCCCTGGAAACTCTTTGGAACCCTCATTTTGTAGGATTTTGTCTTATCCACTGTGAGGAGTTCACTCTACAATAAGGCTGACCAGTCGGCTTTCAGATTATAAAGTGCTAAATTCAGTTTTGTGTTTTCTTGGCCAAACATTTTTCTTTTAGATTTTAATTGTGGTAGAATATGCATAATGTAAAAGTATCATTTTAATAATTTTTAAATGTACCATTCATTGGTATTAAGTACATTCACATTGTTGTACAATTATCACAAGCACCCATCTGCAGAACTCTTTCATCTTCCAAAACTGAAACTCTGTATCCATAAAACACTAACTTCCCATTCCCTTCTCCCACATCCCCTGGGAAACATTCTACTTTCTGTCTCTATGAATTTGACTATTCTAAGTACCTCATATAATTGGAGTCATACAATATTTGTCCCTTTGTGACTGGTTTACTTCATTTAGCATAAAGTCTTCAAGGTTCATCCATATTGTAGCATGTATCTGAATTTCTTTCTTTTCAAGGCTAAATAGTATTCCATTGCATCTATATGTCACATTTTGTTTATCCATTCACTGTCTGTAGACACTTGAATGGTTTCCACATTTTGGCTATTGTGAATAATGTCAGTATAAACCTGGGTGCCCAAATATCTGTTTGAGTCCCTGCTTTCACATCTTTTGAGTCATATACCCAGAAGTAGAATTGCTGGATCACATGGCAATTCAATGTTTAATTTTTTGAGGAACTGCTAGAATATTTTCCACAGCTGCTGCACCATTTGACATTCCCACTAACAATGCACAAGGGTCCCAATTTCTCCATGGCTTCACTAATACTTACTGCTTCCTGAGCTTTTTGTTTATTTGTTGGGTTTTTTTTTAATAGTCATTCTAATGGGTGTTGAAGTGGTATCCATTGTGGTTTTGACTAAATTCAATTTTGAGCCTCTACATTCAATGCCTTGATTCCCCATGATAAACCCAAAATAATAATACAGCACGACCTCTATTTCTTCCCCGTGAGCCTTGAGCCTGCCTCCTGGGAAAGTTGCCGCCACAGAGGGAGACCAAAAGGTAAGAGGGCCTGTGACTGGCTGTACTTCTTCACTCAGGGCAGCAGGGGGCGCTCCCACAGGACTGCCCTGGAGGCTCCAATAACAGATGACAGGACAGGTCACTTTCTCAGACCAAAGCAAGGTCCTAGATCACCAGCAAAAGGGTCTTTTTGTCCCCTGACCCTCTTCCCCCAGTCCTGTCCTCCTCACAGTGTCAGTATCAAGAAGAACCAAGCAGCCCAGGCCACCGTAATGTTTCTCAAAGTGAATCCTATTGACATTCAGAGTGAGACCATTCATTCTTCAATATGCAGGATAGTGGACAGTCACTGTGACAACTAAATGCCCCCCATTCACATCTTCCAAGTACCTCCTCCCTCTGGAGATGGGAGGTGCCCTAGTGAGAGCCAGGTATGCAAAGGAATCTGGAGATTTCCAGTGTCCTACACTCACTCATGCAAAGCAGCAACCACCTGAAAGAGGTCTCATGTCCAGTAGAGGAAATGCTGGAGCTCAGCCAAGGAAAAACGTCACAGGGCGCCTTAGGTGACCTAGACAACACCTCTGAGTCTGTTAATGGTTAGTTGACAGTGAAAGGCTCACATATCAGGAGAAGGGGGGAAAATACTCTGAAAGCAGATGAGTACTAGAACAGAAAAAATATCCCAACCTGCCCCCTCAACCCAGCAATCAGAACTTGAAATCGGAGCCTGGTGCCTTCCATGTCCATTTGACCCTCCCTCCCCGCAGGGTGTGAACCCTGCCTTCAGCCCTCTCTGCCTTGCCTAGGCGGGCTTCGGGGACTTCACTTCCCTGTGCTGCCATAGCAACCAGGAAACAACCTCCGCTCACAATGAGAAGGATGGTGCCATGGCCCAGATCTGCCGATGTACACGGTAACAGAGCAACGGAGCCAGCGAACAACAAGGGTGCAGGCAAAGGGGAGCAAGAGGCTGCCCAGAGAGTAGACAATCCAGGGCTTGAAGAGTCTGGATTTGAGGTTTATTTTTTCTCCCGACAAAGACACACACTGTCTAAACTGTGTGGCTGGTTGTTATTAAGAAGCTGCTGGACGAGGGGAAAATGTATTTAATAAAAGGCCCAGTGTTTGTGGTCTTCTTGGGCTCACTGCTGAGCTCAGGAAATCTTGAGGTGTGACCAGTTTTCAGCCTTCAAAACCAAGACGAACTGCCCTTGAGAAGGGTGGTCAGAGGGAAAACATGTTCACCCTCTCTCTCCTAAGCCGGGGACACGGGAAGTTGGTCCAGAACAAACAGAAGTTAGAAGTCTATTTTGAACCAGAGGTGAGTCTTATAACTGAATAAAGGCCTATTTGGGGGGCGGGGGAGGAACGCGCTGTTTTTTCATTTGCTGTGTTTTGGTTTGTTTTGTGGTGAGGTGGTGGGGGTCACTGGGAGATCTTCCCTCCTCCTGGATGAAACTCAAGAAAATAAGGTCGTTGCCTGACACACTGAGATTGCCACTGGGACCCTCTTCCTCCCCCTCGCACCCTGACTTAACACCTCATTTGCTTTAGACTGGAGGAGATTCCAGATTGTCTAGAATTTGGATGGTTTGGTTCAAGACCAGAATTTCCACCTGGGTTCTAGGCAAGCTAATGGCTGTTTGGTTTTTAGACGTCATGCTCTGTGGTTGAAATGCTGAGTATGTTCGTGCCAGTTCAATGGCTTCCTTGAACTTTCTGGAATTCAACCCACAAGACTCACATTTAATATAGGCAAAAAAAAAAATCTCATTTTAGAGGATTTTAAAGGGTGGCAAAATTCCCTTGCTGTACTGGAATTTTATTTCATTGAATCCTGCCAGGGACAAGAAATCTACTGGGGGTAATTTGAAAATTTTTGGATCACACAGAGATTTCCATTGTCATGGTAGTCTGTCATGATATTTGACCTATGTTGTATTAAAAGACATATAAAGTTTCAAAGGACCTCTGTGGCCAATGGCATTTACTTACTTACAAGATATGTAACTACTTTATAGGCTCCTAAACAGCCAAATTAGGTAATGTTACATAGCATCTGGAATGTAAAGACATTCTCCCTGCATACAGCCAAAGTGATGGGTTGGAATGGTTTTCTCCTATTTAAACTCTCAGCTAGTCCAGGTCTAATTTCAAAGTTACCTGCTGCCCTTGATAACTCACTTGCATACCAGGAATTTTAACTGATCTGGAAGTTACACTCTACCCTGTTTAAGCCTCCAGGCATGAATGGCTCTCCTGAAAGTTACATGGGGTAAAAAAGAACTGTACCCTGGGTTCCACTAACTTTGAGACATGGAGAAGAAAATCAGTTGCTAAGAAGAGTGACTGTGTTCTGTGACATCATGTGAGCAATTCAGAGAAAACCAGTCACTAAAAGCAAGTCAGATATCTGCACAAGCAGTATTTGCTATAAAAGGGCCTTGTCCACTGTGGACCAATCAAGGTGCTTCCTTGCCATTGCAGGATTACTTGAACTGGAAGTCCCCAGAAGATTATATCCTGGCCAGCAAACTGCAGGATGAGGACAATGCTGACCAGCACATGTGGAGTCTCTTTCTTCCTAAAACATTCAGCACTAGAAAGGGTGCCCTGATCCTCTACTCAGAAGGTTTAGCCATATCAGCATGGACCCCTGAAGACAGAAGAAAAGGCCCCTACTGCCCAAAAGGCCACAGGAAGAGGCTGGATCTTGAACTGCACACACTTCAGGACCTCAAAGAAGCCATCCTGGCATATGGAAGGAGACAGGTAGGCAGAACCGTGTCCTGGGTTCGGGGAAGGCAATGGCCTATGCATCTAGAAATCCAGTTGTAGCTTTGAGTGTAACTTCTTAGACCCTAGGAAAGTATGAAACCCTCAGATCTCCATTTCTTCATCTCAGAAATGGGCTTGTCCTCATGGCATGCAACTATCAGGAGGCTTAAATGAAATAATATACACAAAAGGGCTTTGAAAAGCATAAGGGGTTATATTATTATCATTTTGTGTTTTCCTTTCCCTTGCTTGGAGAAACACAAAGTTCTTTTCAGCATTCAGACAGATTGGGGCCAGCAGACATTTCGTCAGAATCCTTGAAATTCTGTCTTAGAGCCACAAGCATCATCATCACACCTCTGATATTCTTGGCTTTGTGGAAATGAGAGGGAGAACATTTTAAATATTTACTTTGAGCCCTTCAGCGTCTGCAGGATAAGTTAATGACATTTTCCATTCTGAATTTAATATTAAGGGAAAAGCCCTGTGCTCATGTTTCTGATTCATAATTTCTAACGTCTTAAGAGATGTATGAGTGGCTCCTGCTTTACATGACTGCATGCATCATCCCTTTGGTTGATTCAGGCCAAGAGAGAGGCTGGAAAGAAGTATCACTTCATGAAATTCTAGGTTATAGATGGTGGGTTAGTTTAAAAGTCTCTGCTGGCTTCTCATTCCCACAGGATAAAGCCATTAGCTTCTTATACCAAGCCTTTCATGCACTGGCTTTCTCTTCCATTTCTAGCCCTATCTGCCCCCTTTTCTAACCACCACCATGAATACGGATTACTCAAGGCCCCACCCAAGTGAATAGCTCACTATTCCACAAAGTGCCCCTTCGTACACTCTTTGCATATCTTCTACAGCTGGAAAACTCCTGTTCATCCTTCAAAACACAACTCCAATGTCATCGCCCCACTGAAGCTTCCCTAGGGAGAGATAGCCCATCACTCCCTTCTCTGTGAACATTCCCATACCATCATACACTGCAATTGATCTCTCTGCCCATCAGTTGCCGTCTCCTTGAGGACTGGAACCATGTCTAAATCTTAGTCTCCAGAAAAAAAGTGAGTACCCATAAATGTTTATGGAATGAATCAATCGATCTTCAATGTTTCTTAGATCACCCTTCAGTATTATTTTCAAAAAAAAATTTTACTGAAATATAGTCAGTTTACAATGTTGTGTTAATTTTTGGTGTAGAGCATACTGATTCAGTTGAATATATATACATATATATATTCCCTTTCATATTCTTTTTCATTATAGGCTATTATGAGGTATTAAATATAGTTCCCTATGCTATACACTGGGACCTTGCTGTTTATCTATTTTACATTTAGTAGTTAGTATCTGCAAATCCTGAACTCCCAATTTATCCCTCCACCCTCCCCCTTTCCCCACTGGTAACCACAAGTTTGTTTTCTACTTCTGTGAGTCTGTTCCTGTTTTGTAAATAAGTTCATTTGTCTCAGTTTTTTAGATTCCACATATAAGTGATATCATAAGGTATTTGTCTTTCTTTCTCTGGCTTACTTCACTTAGAATGATGATCTCCAGGTCCGTCCATGTTGCTGCAAATGGCATTATTTCATTCCTTTTTATGGTTAAGGAGTATTCCATTGTGTGTGTGTTTGTGTATATGTGTGTGTATATATATATATACACATATACACATACATACATACATACATACCACAACTTTTTTATCCAGTCATCTGTCAATGGACATTTAGGTTGTTTCCATATCTTGGCTATTGTAAATAGTGCTGCTGTGAACATTGGGGTGCATGTATCTTTTTGAATTAGAGTTCCCTCTGGATATATGCCCAGGAGTGGGATTGCTGGATCATGTGGTAAGTCTATTTTTAGTTTTTTAAGGAATCTCTATACTGTTTTCCATAGTGGCTGCACCAAACTACATTCCAACCAACAGTGTAGGAGGGTTTCCTTTTCTCCACAGCCTCTCCAGCATTTATTGTTTGTGGGCTTTTTAATGATGGCCATTCTGACTGGTGTGAGGTGATACCTCATTGTAGTTTTGATTTGCATTTCTCTAATAGTTAGTGATACTGAGCATCTTTTCATGTGCCTATTGGCCATTTGTATGTCTTCATTGGAAAAATGTTTGTTTAGGTATTCTGCCCATTTTTTGATTGGGTTGTTTCTTTGTTATTAGGTTGTATGAGCTGTTAGTATATTCTGGAAATTAAGCCCTTGTCAGTCTCATCATTTGCAAATATTTTCCCCATTCTGTAGGTTGTCTTTTCATTTTGTTTATAGTTTCCTTTGCTGTGCAAAAGCTTGTAAGTTTAATTAGGTTCCGTTTGTTTATTTTTGCTTTTATTTCTATTACCTTGGTAGACTGCCCTAGGAGATCATTGCTAAGATTTATGTTGGAGAATGTTTTGCCTCTGTTTTCTTCTAGGAGGTTTATAGTATTTTGTCTCATGTTTAAGTCTTTAAGCCATTTTGAGTTTATTTTTATGTATGGTGTGAGAGAGTGTTCTAAATTCATTGATTTACAGGCAGTTTTCCAACTTTCCCAGCAGTACTTGCTAAAGAGGCTGTCTTTTCTCCATTGTATATTCTTGCCTCCTTTATCAAAAATTAATTGACTGTAGGTGTGTAAGTTTATTTCTGGGCTCTCTACTCTGCTCCATTGATCTGTATGTCTGTTTTTGTGCCAATACCATGCTGTTTTGATTACTGTAGCTCTGTAGTATTGTCTGAAGTCTGGGAGATTTATGCCTCCAGCTTTGTTCTTTTTCCTTAGAATGGCTTTTGCAATTCTGGGTCTTTTATGGTCCCATATAAATTTTAGAATTATTTGTTCTAGTTCTGTGAAAAATATGATGGGCAATTTGATGGAGATTGCATTAAATCTGTAGATTGCTTTGGGTAGTATTCCCCCAGTAACATTACTGGGCAATTTATCATCTACTCCATCTGACGCAGAGCTTCCAAAAGTAAAGTTCCTCTGCCCTTTTCCTTCTTTCAAAATGCAGAGAAGCTTAGTGACCTTGACCAAATACTCAGTTGTCCTTTATCTTAAAATCACAAATTCTTGGATGAAAGGAAACCAATTATTTTAGTAAATTTTCACAATGACCTGCAAGATATGGTTTTTCTTGCCCCTTTTTGTAGATGAGGAAACTGAGGCTTGGAGGAGTTAAGTGACTTGGCCAAGGTCTCAGAGCTAGTAAATGACACAGCCTGGATTCAAACACAGGACTGCCTACCTCTCCAGGGCCCACATGCTTGGCACTTCACTCTGTTGCCTGTGGACTTGAAAAGGTCTCCAGAAGTCACTGTGCCAGGCCTGTTTGTCCTTACATTCACTCCTCAGCTTACCTTACTTTGCTCTGCATCACAGTGGGATTGACCACAGGCTACATATAATTCCACAAACATCTGTGTCAACTGGCTTCTAATTGAATTTGCCAATGGAAGACACGAAGGAGATCGGAGATGGAGAAGAGAAAAGCCAGGGTATTTCTCCCCTCTCATTCTACCTGTGGTGGTGAAATATACCTGCATCACCTCTGTGGTCCAGCTCCCAACAGACTGGCAGGGCCATTTGGCTCCAGCTTCCTCAAGGTGAACCTACCAGCTCCTCCCTCTGTCCTTTCCCTAGGGGAAGGGCTGGCTTCCTGCTGTTACTAATCTCAGTGTTGCCTCATCATCTTTTTGGCTTCCAAGCTCTCTAATCACCTGTATAACCAATTCCCTGAACTACATTCTTTCTGTGTTTAAATATTTAGAGTGGTTTCTGTTTTCCTGGTTGGACAGTGATATGTAGGCTGGCTTACAGCCCAGAGCAAGAATACCTTCCACAGCTTTCAGACATTTGTCTATACAGCCCAGCTTTTTTGGGCAACAGGGATCTTTTCACTCTACGAAGTAGATGAGCCTGTTTGGGGATGGCTTCATTTTTAGTTAGACTTGGGCTCAGTGAGAAAAAGAAGTTCCTGTCTTCCTGAAGTATCTACCTACTAGATTTACAACACGTATCTGTACAAACAGAACACCATAGTCTAACTCTGAATAAGTAGAAGGGAAATGGTGTGAGGAAATCAGAAAGGAAAGAAAATTACTGTTTGGAGCAGTAATGGGACAGGAATTTAAGATTATAGGACATGATAGGTTAAAACAGGAAGAAAAGCAACTCAGGAGGGACCTGGGATTAAAGACAATGAACACCTCATAAGAGGAGAGCTTTGGAAACTACAGAGCACCATCTGATTATGAAAACTACAGCCTGGCAAGAAATTTTTTAAATTATACTATCCAGTGCTGGGAAGACTGTGGGGAAAATGAACTGTCTCATATATCAGCACAAATTCATGTGACATTTCTGGAGGGCATTTTGGCAAAAATCTAAAAAAGGCTAATACTTTTTGATTCAGCATTCGATCTTTAGGAATTTGCCTTAGAAAACTACCAGAGATGTGGCCAAAGATTTATGCACAAGAATGTGTACTGCAAGGTTATTTATTGCTATATAAAATATTGAAAATAATAAATGTCCAACAATGGAACCTTGATTAAATAAACTATGATACAGTCACACAATGGATTTTCAGTCAGGCAATAAAGTCATATATTATTCATGAACAACATGAGAAAATACACACTGTATTTTTTTAAGCAGGTTGTAAAAGTATTCATATAATGAAAATACCAATATTCATTAACATTTTTTGAGTATTTATTATGTTCCTGCCACTGTTCTAAGTGCATTCCATTGCCTAACTCATGTATGCTTTGTATCAGTCCTGGGGGTAAGTATTGTTATTATCCCACTTTAAAGGTAAGGAAATTGAAGCACAAAGAGTTTGAGTAATTCACTCAAGATTATACAGCCATGTAGATAATTGCACCAGAAATCGACACTAGACAGTATGGAAAACATCACCTCTCAAATATAATCCCAATTTTTAAAAATTAGTTATACAAGCAGAAGGATACATATCACAATTTAACCATGGGTG